GCTGCTGGTTCTCGGGGGGGGGGGGGCGGCCAGGGCCAGATAGGTCCCCAGCCACGCATTGCAACCCAGACTGTGTTGCCACTCAAACCACACTTGTCAGTGAGAAGGACCTGGGGAACCTCATCAACAGATTTGCTGCGTTTCTTTGTGGGGGAAGTGGCAGAAACGGAGTCTTCAGCCTCTCCTGCAGGAGCTGCTCAGCCCTGGGTGCGGAAACCTCCCCGAGAGAGGCAAACCCGTTTGGGGCGTCCTTTCAAGAACCACTTTGGGGGGGGGGAAGAGAGAGAAAAAGAGAGGTGCCCAGGGCTCTTCCAGTTAGGGGGCACAGCAGTTCAGCCCATGCCTTTCCTTACCTGGTCGCCCCCCAATCCATTGCTGCAGATCCCACCTCCCCACACAGCAGCCAGGCTGTCTTCAGCTGCTCCTCTCCATTCTTGTCCACCAGAGACTGGCCCACCAAGAGGGAGGTGGATTCTGAGGGAGGAATCGGCCAGAGATTCACTGGCAGGTCAAAGTTATTGTACCAATTGGGGGAGGGGATATATTTCCCATAAAGTCCCCAAAAAACCCAGAGCGAGTGAAGAACAGAATGCAAAGCGGGTCCGCTGAAGAAAGTTCGCCTAGGAAGCGGGAGGTGAGAAAGCGGAGAGATTCCCTCCCCAACGACTATGGCCATACTGCTTAACAATGGCAATTCCCGAAGTCCCAGTTGTGGTCATTAGGACAGGACAGCACCTTTGGGAAGGCAAGACTTCAGGGTTCTGCTCTGCCACACACTCACCTTTGCTCTGTCTTCCCCCATCTCTGCTCGGCCCACCTTCACACGCAGCAGCCAGATTGTCTTCAGCTGCTCCTCTCCGTCCTCGTCCACCACTGGCCCGAAAAGATGGAGGTGGATTCTGAGGGAGGAATCGGCCAGAGACTCCCTGGCAGGTCAAAGTTGTTGAACCAATTGGGGAGGAGATATATTTCCCATTAAGATCCCCGTTCATCAATGGTTGGGAAAGTCTTATGGGCTCCAAAATCTTTGGGCAGTTCCAGCTGATTGGGGGGGGGGATATTCAGTCAAACAATCTGCAAGGGGCAGATTTCAGGATGGGGAGATCGACTAGATTCCCTCCTCCCGTTCTATTTGCTTCCACACCAAATAGTGAGTGGCTCTGCCAGAGAGGGTGAAGCCAAAGGTGGATTGGTGCCCCTTTGTGCTGGACGCCCTGCAGCGGGGGTGGCCGGATGGGCACGTCGGAGGCCGAGACTGCCGTTTGGTAGAGGCCGCTGGACACCCCCGTGTCACTGACGCTGTTGATCTGCATGGTGGAGGCGAGGTCATTCTTCCAGGTGCCGGTCAGGGAGCACTAAAGGAGAGCGGGAGGGGGAAGGAAAACGGGTCACCGCGCTAGCTGTCCAACAGGTAGAGTCTCTGCCTCCATATTGCCTGGGGTGAGCCGCGGCGCGGCGCCCGAGAAGAAGTGGGCACGTAAAGGCAGCCAGGTTCAGCGGTTCCATTCCGGCCCGGGAAATATTTCTCCGTTTCTGGCGGGGCTGCTGCGCTCAGAGAATCTGCTCCCCGCTAAGCCTGGCTCCCCATCCCCGGTTCCGTTGTCCGAGTTACTCCTCGCCCTTCCCGAAGGGAGGCAAATCCCGCCCCCCTCCGCAGCTGAGAGCGAGCGAAGAACAGAATGCAAAGCGCCCCCCCTGAAGAAAGTTGGCCTGGAAGCGGGAGGTGAGAAAGCGGAGATATTCCCTCCCCATCAGGTGCGTCGGTTGAGGGTCTCAGCCTCCCCTCCTCTTAACGTCGGAATCCGCAGCAGCCTCGCTTTAAAGGCTTTTTCCCTTTCGTTTGACCCTCTTCTCTGGCTTGCTCAAAACGTCCCAGGAATCGCCTCCTTCCTATTTCTGACTCTCAACCCCCAAAAGTAGAAAGATCTCTCTATTGTTTTCTTTCTGGCCGAGCAGGCGCCCAATGATCCTTGAGTGGCCACTTCTCCTAGGCCTCCTTCCAGGAGCCACCAAGAACACCCGACTGCTGGTTCCCCACCCCCCATCTTGCCTTTGCCCTCTGGCCAGGTTCTCCTGGGGCAGGCTGGGCAGAGGGAGCAGAGCAGGAAGGTGAGGAACCCAGCCCTCTCCCTCCCTCGGCCTTCTCTTCTTTCCGCCAAACATGCCTGGTTCTGGATCTCTGAGGATTTAGCCAAGACCCCCGCCCCCCTCCTCATTTCCTTGGCACTTTGGGTTTGGGTTTGACAATAAGGCTTTTTGTACGTTCAATACAAAAAAATCCCCTTCGTGGATTACTGCCTTGTCCTGGTGAAGGGGCTTGCGTAACTCAATGAAGCTATGAGCAATGCCTTGCAGGGCCACTCAAGATGGACAGGTCATAGAAGAGAGTTCTGACAAAATGTGATCCACTGGAGAAGGAAACGGCAACCCACTCCAGCATCTTTGCCATGAAAACCCCATGGACAGTACTAAAAGGCAAAAAGGTATGAAGCTGGAAGATGAGCCCCTCAGGTCGGAAGATGTCCAATATGCTACTGGGGAAGAGCAGAGGGCTAGTACTAGTAGCGCTGGAAAGAGTGAAGCGACTGGGCCAAAGCCAAAAGGATGTTCAGCTATGGATGCATCTGGTGGTGAAAGGAAAGTCCGATGCTGTAAAGATCTATTCTCCATAGGAACCTGGAATGTAAGATCCATGAATCAAGGCAAGCTGGACGTGGTCAAACAAGAGATGGCAAGACTGAACATCGACATCTTAGGAATCAGCGAACTAAAATGGACAGGAATGGGTGAATTTAATTCAGATGACCATCAGGTATACTACTGCAGGCAAGAATCCCTCAGAAGAAATGGAGTAGCCGTCATAGTCAACAAAAGAGTAGGAAAAGCAATACTGGGATACCATCCCCAAAATGACAGAATGATCTCAGTAGGGATCCAAGGCAAACCATTCAATATCACAGTAGTCCAAGTCTATGCCCCAACCACT